AGAGAGATAAAGTCACATACACAAGGACATGCAGGTAGTGAGCAAAAGGTGGAATGGAAAACAATTCAATGTCAGAGCTCATGCTCCTCCCACACCCACTCTCTGCCTGCAGATGCAAAGCCCTAAGTCACTTTAGGAAGGAAGCTGAGGCACTTGCTCCTGAGAGACTCAAGTCTGGAGAGCTTGGGGCAGATCTCTCCTCCAACACATCTTCATTTCAACTAGAGCCACTTAATCGGCCAGTCTCCAACTCTCTCTAGTGCCTTCTCCATGCAGCTACCCAGATTAGAAGCCATTAGGAACCACTCTTCCACCCTAAGGACTCTCTCCCCTCCTTACATGCAGTGGTCCCTGTGACCTTCATGCAGTGCCCTGGACAAGGCAAGTGCCAGAAAAAGTGGGATCTTTGAGGGGAGTGAGCTTAGAGCAGATGAGACTGTCTGAGGACTGGGGGGCGCCCACTGTTATTCCACCACTGCCTTCCCTGCTCACAGCAGGACTGAATGGCAGCCGCAAACTGCATGTGAAATCTATCCTTTAGTGCTGCCAAGTCAGGTGGGAGGGGGGTGGTGTTAAAGCAAAGCTATAATATGCCTGCAATAAAAGTTTACCAGCTTTTATATAGGTTCCCGATAATGAGAGGAGATATTTCAACAGCTCAGATAGTGTCGTGAGAGGAAAAGTAATTCCTGGCACCGCCTCTTTAAGGTGAGAATCTGCCTCCCCCACATGGTTCATAGCTGGGAGTTTTTCCCCATTTAAAGGAGACTGCATCAAATTATGTGTGCCTTTCAGTCTTTATCATGGTTTATAATGGATTCCTGTAGAGAGTCTAGAAAGGGAACTTTTCATTGAGGTGAGTGGTGAATTTTTATGCCCTCAAACCTTGGAAGAGTCGAGAGTTACAGTAACAGAGAGGTAAGGAAGTGAGGGATTTTGGAAGTTCAGGGCCAAGAGCAGGATATAAAGATGTGTGTCCTCGAGGTATGGATCTTGGGAAATAAATTAGGGCATCCTACTGCTGCTACTTTAGACAGAGACTCTAAGAGGCTACATCCCCATGAGGTAGTAAGAAACTTGACAGAAGGTGTGGAGAAGAATCTCCCAGAGTGACTGAGAATGGGGTGAAACTGGGTAGGCAGAGAGACAATGAATGCCACCTGGAAGCAGAGGGAATGCATTCAGAGATGCTGGCGTGGGACAAAAGAGGGCGGAAGCCAAAGTAAGGGGCAGTACAAGGGAAGCCAGGATAATGGCAGATGAACCTGTTGTGGGCTCAGAAGGAGAGAAGCCTGCTCTGCCACACCAGCCAGGCAGTGAGGACACTTTCTCCTAACAGGGAACTGACTTCAGCCTGTGCTGAAATGCCCTTGTGATTTGGCGCAGACCTGCGTGGCCCTGTGATATTCACTGTCCAATGGGCATCCTGTCAAAGCTCATTAACAGAGACATGCCTGATTTCAAACTTGTGATCATTTGGACACAGACAAGACTCAAGCTGACATATGAGCTTTCAGTGAAAACAGAGTTTGTTACACAAATCAAGAGTGTGAAAGGATTAGGGGCAAGAGGGATAATTAACCTACTAGGAGAAAACCAACTGGTTGCAAGAACTTTGAATGACATCAGTTCCTCTCTCTTTGCATCTGAACAGTGTCACTTACAAATGATTGCTGTCTAAGCCTGGCTCACGTCCATCAGACCCTCATAACACTTCATTAGTCCCTAATTGGTGTTGCTGCACATGCCTAAAATGTCAATAGTAACTCTCCCTTTCTTTCAAAGTCCAGCTCCAATCAGCTCTCCTCAATAAGGACTTCTAGGACTTCTCAGCCCACACAACCTTCCCTAAAGCATCCAGTACCTGGGCCACCTATGCACCACTTATGGGCTACCTTGACCTGTGAGCCCTCCTGTCCCATGCCCAGCTCTTACAGCCCTAGCTGGCCTGGAAGTCCTTGGAGACAAAAAGTGAGCCTTATTTATGACAATTTCTACCTGCTAGGTCACCAACAGCTCTGTGTTGGCTAATTGAAAGGGACGGGTGATTTTCTGGCAAAATCTTCACACATGGATACTATGAAATATTAGGAAGCAATTAAAAATAATGAGTTGGAGCTATAGATGTGGACTGACTTGGAAAGATACCCATTTGCTTTTAGTGAAAAAAAAATTGATTGTAGGGTTATACACATTATATGATTCCATTTTTTAAAAAAAATACTTCCTGAATATTTTATAAACATTGAAATATGTTTGAGTGAGCAGAGAGAAAAGTAAGGAAGGATATATACCAACTGTTATAGTTTGTTTTCTGAGACTGGGAGAATGGGATTGGAGACGGAGATGAGAGTTGGCTTTTCCTTTGCGTGTCTTTTCCTTGTTTGGCTTGTTGCATGAATGTGCATTACCTTTTGCTTTGAGGGGAAGTCAGTGAGCCTTACAAATAGTGCAAAGTCAAGCTCTCTCAACATTTGGGGTAACCCAGACAGCATCGTCTCTTCCTCCCAAGGCTGAAGACCAAGCTCAAAGTGGGAGGGGCCATGTAGATCATTTGTTCCTCTTACCACCCCAACTGGCATTCACACAGTCCCCCTTGGGGGCTTTTTAAGGGGTCTTCATAAACTCCACATCCCCCTGCATTTCCACTTGTCAGGTTCCAGTCCTGTCACTTGTTTCTCCTTGAAGTGATCATGAGTGGGTACTGCTTCTCACACCCCAGAGAGCCCTATCTGAAATGAGGGGACAGCACTGGGGGAGGCTGGATTTTGTCTGGTTTTCCTTCTAAGTCCACTCTCCATCCTCCCCCACCATGCACGATACTGTCAGAAGGCTGATATCCACGACCACATCAATAAGACTCCCTCGCTGGGTGCGTTCAGCCAACAGGAGGATCCAACAGATAAGAGGGTGGGAGGAGAGAGAAGTCAGGGTCTTCCTTCCCCAGCTCCACCCAGCCCAACCACGGGTTGGCAGTAGCTGTGTTCCCCACCTGAAAACCACAGCTGCTGTCTGGCAGCCTCTGCTGAGCTGTAGCTTTCTCAGAGTGTGGTGTTTCATGTGTTGGTGGGGAGCGAGTAAATTAACAGTTTCTTTCTGTTACTAATGTCGAGGTGCTTCACCATCCCTTGCTCATCCTTACACCCTTGTGAACTCTCCCCTTATTAAACTCTCTTCGATATTCCCTCTCTCCCTTTTGCATGTGCCATCTTTTTCCTGCCTGGCCCCTGAGCAGCTTCCCTGCCAGCAAAGGGCCCTGGAGCACTGCAGCAGAGACCAGGGGCTGTCTCTAAGTGCTGCCCCTGCTGTGAGAAGCCCCTCCATGCTAGAGACGTGTGCACCCTGGAAATGCCTCTCTCTGGCAGGGCTTTAAGCCTAAACCCAAGGAGGGCTTTAACAGGCACAGAGTTGCACCTTGTTTCTCTTACCCACTAGCCATGGAGAAGTGGTGAACAAGCCCAGCTTACCCCCTTGCAGTCCATTTGAACCATGGAACCAATGCAAGCTGAAAGAGATGGACCCTCCATGCCCCTCTCAGGCTGGAAACAATCAGAGGGGTGCTGTGGAGCCTCCCGCCCCAGCCGAGTATCTCCCATAGCAAAGTTCTGCTTCTGTGCCTCTCACCCAGCAGGTGTCAATCAGGCAAGGAACAGGAGAGAACAGATGCAAACAAGCCAACTAAAAATACACCCGTGGCAGACTTCGTTAACGTGCGGGAACATTCTCAGTCCCCGGGGCAATGATGGGCCCTCGAGATCTCAAGGGGCAGAAGAGGAATGGCAACTAAAGTGAGACCCGATAGAAAAGCAACAGCAATAATGACAAAAATACATACCTAATGCAAAAAATAACAACAACGACAACAACAACAAACAACTGTTCATCCTCAAATCCCGGGGGATACTGACAGCTAATTATTGATCAACCCAAGCAAGAATGAACTATGCCTCAGAATCAACTTCCTTCAACTCCCTAGAGGTTATCATGAACTATGGGGATGCTATTAACTCCGGGAGACATGGGAAAGGGGCCCCCTCTCAGGTCTGCTCCTAGACTCAGCAAGAGGCTCCAGCCCAGCCAGGCCTGAAGGGCAGACATAGACGATAACAGACAAGCAAATTAACCACCACCCCACTAGATCCCTGGCAACAAGAAAGTGAAGGTGCTGTAGACCCATGTTTAGAGCAGCCCAGAGGACGAAGGATAGTTTTTCACACCCATGAAGCCAGATATGTTATCTTCATATCAGTGAGAGCAATGGTTGTATGTTGTGGAAGTCCAGCTTAAACTGGCGTAAGCAGAAAAAGGGACTGATTGGCTCATTTAACTGAAAGTTCCAGGGGTAGTTCAGGCATGGCTGGACTTAGGTACTCAATGACATCACCAGGACTCTCTAGCTCTCTGCCCCTTAGATCTGCTTTCCTTGGTGGCCGCCAGTGGTTCCATGCCGACACCTATTATTAAGCAACTCCAGAGGAAAGTGCATGCTGCTTTCTAAAGAATTACTGCCCATGTATCAGATTTGAATTTCAGTAGCATGCCTTGTGTTACCTCCCCGTCTGTCACTCGTTACTGGAGCCAGGAGAATGGAATGCTCTGATTGGTCAGATCTGGGTCACATGCTCACCCTCGGTCTTAGAGGTAGAGAAGTCTGGCACGCAGTAGGCACTCAGTAGATAAATGTTGCACGCATGAAGGAATGAATGGAAGGCCCAGAGGTGTGACAGTTCAGGGCACGCTGGGGCACCGAGTTGGCTACCGTAGGGAAAGGAATGAGATTGGAAAGCCAAGAAAGAGCAGACAGCATGCGGTGCGGTGGCCGTGGGCAAGGCACTTCACCAGCTGGACTTCAGGCTACGAGACGTGCGGGGAAGCCCAGAAAGTAGCGCCTGCCTTCTGGAGCTTGCACTCGAATAGGAGTCATGTGACAGCCACGTGAATGTTACGTCACAAGGCAAACGTGATGGGCTCTGCAGGGGCAGATGAGTTCCCGCTGGGGGAGTGAGTAGGAGATCGGAGACCTTTCAGTGGAGGAGTCGGCTATTCTATTTGGAGGTGGTGGGCAGACTAGTTTGGACAGGTGAAAACGAGGATGAGTTCTTTAGGCAGAGGGATGCTCAGGAAGGTGGGACAGGGAAGGCGGTCCTCGGAGGACAGGCCTGTGGGGGGCCCTAGGAGGTGGGGCTATAAAGGGGCTCAGGAGTCTCCCAAGCGAGGCCTCTAAGCCAAGGATTTAGGGTTCTGCCCTGTTGGCTGTCGAGTGTTGCCATCTCTCCTTGGACCAGTTCATTTCAGTCACTAGCCTAGAAATTTCTCAGGCATACCTATTCAGATTCGCGGTTTTAGGAAATCGACAGGATCTCTCCATCCCAACAGGCTGCTGCCTAAAAGTGGGCAATTCCTCTCTGAAGGGTGACGTCTCCAGACTGCAAATCGACCTGCCTGGCTTCCAACCGTTTCCAGCAACAGCGGTATAGCTCATCTTAAGAAGCCAGGTTTCTCGGCATGCGTGATAAATTCGACTTTAAACTGATTATCGAAATCTACAAGCTGTTAATCCAGTGGCTGCCAGCGCAGCCCTGTTCTCTGCTCTGTTTCATCTTCACTTACAATGACAGAATTCGTGTGTTCTCCCGGCAGCTCTCAGGAGCCCGCACTGTGCCTGCCCGAGACCCCTCCTGCTGTCGCTCCACGCGGCAGATACGTGCACGTCTCTCTCTTTTGCTTTCTCTGTCTCTAACTGAGGCTGATACTGAAAAATCTGAAATTACTGGTCAAAGCAAGTGAGAAAGTCACTTGACAGGGTGAATCCTGTGCAGAGGAAATGTGTGGGTTCTCAAGGACTGTCAGCAGAGTTTGCCCACCTTGCAGGGGAGGGGCCCTGGGGGCCCAGACGACGGCTTGGGTTGATGAGCGGCCTCGGCTGCATGTCTGAGTTGGCCCCTCTGCAGTGGTGAAGCATGCAAGGGCTTCCTCGGGGCAACCTGGCAGCATCCCTTGAGTTGGCGTCCCCCTCTCCTCCAATAAGCAGGCTTGCTGCCAGCCTGGGGCGCCCAGGTGCCAGGGCTGGGCATTCGCCTGGCCAAGTCAGAGCTGCTCCCTGTCCCCACATCAGGTGAACCACAAGCACAGGGGCACCCAGGGCCCCTCATCATCTTCATCATTGTCCTTCTGTCTGTCCCTTACAGCCAGCAAGGAGGCCTGAAATGGCACCTGGGGTTTTACCCAGGCTTGTCCCACTCATGTTCCCAGACTTCTCTACCTCCCTCTTCACATGCCATTGGATCCAGCCCTCTGCACTGCCCTCTATTCCCCCAAATCTCCTCTACTCTTCTCATCTCTATGCCTTTGCTCCCTTGGACTCTTCCACCTAGCCACCCCCCCCCACCCGCAGCCATCCCACCCTGACAAATAGCCAACTCTCAAAATCCTGCCTAACCTTCACACTCAATGCCACTCTCACACAGGTTTCTAAGCTCACAAGGGTATCATTCCTCTGAATTCTTGTGGCACCATCATACATTTGTGGACATTCATGCTATTCTGTTTTATATCATGAGAACACAGCATAGAGTCTAAGAGTGTAGAGTTTTGCTGTGTGACCCTGGAAAAATGACTTAACCTCTCTGTTCTCTGATTTCTTAATTCATAAAATAAGAATCATATTCCATCCTCAAAGAGTTGTTGAGAAAAATAAATGGGCCAATATCTTAGAGCATGTGTCTTAGAGCAAGCTCTAACATAAATTAACTGTCTAAAAATCATCAGTTGTACTGTAACTGTTAGGGTGGTTGTTATTGTAATTATTTTATTTCCCCTATGATGCTGTGAGTTCCTTCAGGACAGGACAGTATCTTGTTCATACTTGAATCCCTCTCATTGCCCAACATGTTGCTGCACATGGCACGTACTTATCAGTTGAACAATCAAGCAAAAGAACCAACTGCATAGTCCTGTCCTGCCTGCTTGTATTAACTAATATTTTAATCTCTTTTCCTATTGGTCCCTCCTTACACACACATACACACAGACGCTGGCCATATCAGACCTTAGTTATATAGAGAGGCAGGAATAAGCCTCCTTAGAGTCTGGCAAAGGCTGCTGTTCTGGGTATCATGCATATAGGCTGCACAGAGTGCTACAACAGGTTCTTCTCATCCATTAATTTATTTCGCTCATTTAGTCAATCAGCAAACCTTTGCTCAGCACTTACTCTGTGCCAGGCACTAAGCTAAGTGCCAAGCTAAGAGAGGCATAGTATTGCCCGCAGGGAGCTTGAATCTCATAGAAGAAACAGACCTTCATGAATATTAACTCAAGTGTAAAGTTATGACAGTGACATAGATCACATGGGTGGCGTTTAGTAGGAGGGACTGGCCTAGCTGGGGAGAGCAGGCAAGCCGCAAAGCACAGCTCCAGGGGCCTTTGTTCACAGCATTGCCAGGGTGCTCCGGGGAAAGAGAATCAATAAGATAAAAAGAGAGTCAAGTAAGGCTTTATTATGGGAAGAGGGTAAGAAGTCACACCATCTGCTGCCTGCAAGTTGGAGAACCAGGAAAGCCAGTAGTGTCGTTTAGTCCTTGTCCCAAGGACTGAGAGCCAGGGGAGTGCTGATGTCTGGGAGCAGGAGATGATGAATGAATGCCCCAGCTCCAGAACAAAGAACAAATTCACCCTTCCTCTGCATTTTTGTTCTACCCAGGCCTTCAGTGGGTTGAGTGATGCCCGCCCACATTGATGAGGGTGGATCTTCTTTACTCAGCCCACTTACCCAAATGCCAATCGCTTTCAGAAACATCCTCACAGACACACCCAGAAATCCTGTTTTATCAGCTACCTGGGCACCCCTTAGCCCAGTCTAGTTGACACATAAAGTAACTATCCCTTGGAGGTATCCTAGGCTGAGACCAACAGAATGAGTAGAATTCGGCCAGGAGAAGAGGCATAAGAAAATATTCTGGGTAGAGAGGACAGCCTGTGCCATGGTCTTGTGGCAGGAGGAAACAAAGTGCCCACAGGACCAACTTGAGAACCAAATCAAGAACTCAATCCCATTTACAATAGCTGCACAAAAGTTAAAATACCTAGGACTATATTTAACAACCAGGGAGGCGAAAGATCTATAAAAAGAGAACTACAAATCACTGATAAGAGAAATCATAGATGACACAAACAAATGGAAAAATATCCCCTACTCCAGAATCCCACAATTCTTCCCGTGGATCAGAAGAATCAATATTGTTAAAATGTTCATACTGCCCAAAGCAATCTAGAGATTCAATTCAATTCCTATCAAAATACCAACATCATTTTTCACAGAATTAGAAAAAACAACTCTGAAATTCATATGGAACCAAAATGAACCCTAACAGCCAAAGCAATCCTAAGCAAAAAGAATAAAACTGGAGGCATCACATCATCTGACTTCAAATGATACTACAAGGCTCTAGTAACAAAAAAAAAAAAAATCATGGTACTGGCATAAAAGTACTCACATATATCAATGTAACAGAATAGAGAACTGAGAAATAAAATTATGTACCTACAACCAAGTGATCTTTGACAAAGCAAACACTAGGAAAAGGACACACTGTTCAATAAATGGTGCTGGGGAAAATTGCATAGCCATATTCAGAAGAATGAAACTGTATCCCTCTCTCCCGCCATAAACAAACATTGATTCAAGATGGATTAAAGGCTTAAACATAAGACCTGAAACCATAAAAATCCTAGAAGAAAATCTAGGAAATGCTGTTCTAGACATAGTCCTCGGAAAAGAATTTATGACTAAGACCCCAACAGCAAGTGCAACAAAAACAAAAATAGACAAATGGAATGTATCTAAACTAAAGCTTCTGTACAGCAAAAGAAATAATCAAAAGAGTAAATAGAAAACCTACAGAATGGGAAAAAATTGTTCACAAACTATGTATCCAACAAAGGACTGACACCCAGAATCTTCAAGGAAATCAAGGAACAAATGACCCTGCTAAAAAGTGGGCAAATGACATGGACAGGTATTTTTCAATAGAAGATATACAAATGGCCAAAAACCATTTAAAAAAAAGCTCAACATTACAAAATGCAACTTAAAACCACAATGAGATACCATCTTACTCCAATTAGAATGGTCATTATTAAAATGTCAAAAAATAATAGATGTTGGCATGGATGCAGTGGGAAGAAAACACTTATACACTGTTGGTGGAAATGTAAATTAGCACAACCTCTATGGAGATTAGTATGAAGAATTCTCAAAGAACTAAAAGTAGATCTGCCATTCAATTCTGCTTATACCCAAAGGAAATTAAATCTATCAAAAAGATACCTGCACTCATATGTTTATTGCAGCACAATTCACAATTGCAAAGATATGGAAACAACCTAAGTGCCCATCCATTGATGAGTGAATAAAGAAAATGTGTATACACACACACACACACACACACACACACACACACACACACTGACACACTCCATGGAGTATTATTCAGCCATAAGAAATAATGTCTTTTCCAGCAACTTGGATGGAACTGGAAGCCATTATCCTAAGTGAAGTAACTCAGGAACAAATTAATCCCAAAAAACAATAGATGTTGGCACAGATGTAGTGCAAAGGGAACACTTACGCACTGTTGGTGTATAAGTAACTCAGGAACAGATAAATGCTACGTTTTCACTTCCAAGTGGGAGCTAAACTTGGCTATGCAAGGACCCATAGAGTGTATAAGGGGCATTAAAGACTCAAAAGGGGGGAGGAATTTTCATTGAGGAATGAAAAATTACCTATGGGGTCCAATGTACACTATTTGGGTGATGGGTATACCAAAAGCCCAGATTTTACCACTGTACAATATATACATATAACAGAATTCAATTGTAGCCCATAATTCCATTAAAATCAAAAAGAAAGGGAGAAATTGTTTAAAAACCTGTTTAATTTTGTTGAAGCAGCACTTTACAAAATAATTTGGCTATGAAACCTTTTCCCCTCTAAACACTATTAATAATTTTCTCTTTTCTGAAACACAGTTATAAAGCAGTACATTCCGATGGTAGTACTGATGATTTTATTGTTGTTTTCATTCTTATTTTGAAAAGTAGAGAGAGCTGAATTGCACAGTGGGTGTTGTGTTTGGGACCCATAATATTAAACTTTAATGCATCCACAAAGAAGGCTGGGAATGACTGTCTTTATTCTGGTGGCCAAGTGCCCAGACAAAAATCAGAAGTTCTACAAAGGACATGAAAAAATACATATTGAACCAGCAGCCTCCGCCAAGGGTAATGAGAAGTTTAATTAGACAGGACAGGTACACTTGCCAAGCATGGGTGGCCACGAAGAGGCCAGAACGGTCCTGGAGAGTGGCAGAGAAAAGGACCCCTTGACAAGAAAGATCGGCCAGAGAAAGGTCTCTCCTAGGAGCCTGGTTTCACAGAGGAGCAAAGTGCGCCCCCGTGGAGGCTGCGTGGCAGCTCAGAGGTGGCAGAGCGGAGACTCAAACCCAGGGCTGTCTGGGCGAGAAGCTCTGA